TATATATATATATATATATATTGGACTTAGATGTATAAAATTATTTTTTTAATTATTATACTTGTGGAAGCATATGCAACTTTTAATTTGAATAGTTTTAAAAAATAAATTATGCATGCTAATGTAATCATATAAAAATTAAAAAATAAATTATAAAGAATTTTTTTTTTGTTTGGGTTTGGATCACTTGAATATTCATTCTCTTTTTGAATAACTAGTAAATAAAAATAAAATAAACTAATCAAAAAAAAATTGACATGTATATAATATGTATTAATATATAATTATAGGTGTTATGTTTTCTAAATATTTTACAAAAAAAATCAATCACTAAACAATGACAAAAGTAAAAGAATAAATAATAGCCTAAATATATATATATATATATATAAATAGATAATGACCACACTTATTATTATTATTATTATTATTATTAAACAATATATAGATAGACGCACACAAACAAAACGGTTGAGTAATAGCAGCTGAATAGAATAGCATAGGTCTTACGGCTTTAACAAATCAATAACATGTTCATCATCTTCTCTCTTTTCTCTCTCTATCTCTTACTCCTCCATCTTCCTTTTTCATTTTCCCTCTCCTCTCTATCCTTCTTCCCTCATTTTCAGCTCCTTTTTTTTTTTTCCCGAAAGAAGCAACTCGGAACTTTTACGTAACGGTGCGTAACAAGCCGTTAAGGCCGTTACGGCACCGTTACGACCGCTATAGCAACTGCTACGGCCGACACACCTGTGAATCTCAATCACACTGCAAAAGCGGCCGTAACGGGTGGCAGTAACCACCAAAACCGTCACGTAACGGCGTTACGTAACGGTTGCGGCTGCTTTTTAAAACCTTTGTGTGATTGTCTTGTGATTTCTCATTTCAACTTAAAGTTTGAAAAGAAATGAATGTATCATTCCAATATTTTATAAACTACGACTAAATTATTATTATTTGAGAACATATTTTTTAATCTACTGCTAATCCCTCGATTTCTTTTAAAGGTTCACAGGAATCTATGCCCATAAAAGGAGTAATAACAATGAACTTCTACTTAAAACTAACTCAATAACTTAGGGTCTGCTTTATAGATCATCCTCCAAATAGTTTGATGAAATGCCATATTTTCCATCAAGTCCAAAGAGATTATGTCCTCTCTTGTAGCCTCAAAGCAAGTTCTTATAGTACTGTTCATGTCACTTTGGCACCTTTAGCTAGGATCAAAATCACTAGTTGTGAATTCAAAGATCCACACTACAGATGGCTTAACCATTAGAGATGATTTTCCCCCATCTTTGGTTGGTATCACTTTTACCTCCTCAATTATGCATTATTTTCTCCCTTTTTTCCCTTACACAACCATTCATCCATTGAAATGGTCTATAATAAGCTGAGCTCACTCCTCTCTCAATTGGGTCAATAGAGAGAGTTGGATCCCTAATCTATAACTTCATGATGCAGAAAAAAGATTTCTAATTTAAGGAGCTCTAATCTAGTTGCAAGGGCAGATCTTTTGGCCTATAAGACCAGGGAATAGAAAGAATCTTCTTCACGAGGAATACTTCACCAATTTTTGGGAAAACTTTAATATAAAGCATTAGCCTCATTTACATATATATTGCCCAAACTAGCCATGCATAACTTAAATAGTAAGCAACGGAAAACATGTAAAACTCCTGAAAATAACCGTGGTTGTACCATGAACAGTACAGCTATCGTAGCCTGGGAAAAGTATTGACAAGGTACAATGGCAGTACTATTACAATACTGCATCCCTTGATAATTGCTCTTATATGCATATAACAAAATAAGCTCTTACAACAAACTCCCCATGGTGGAACACTGCACAAGGCAAAGAGGCACATTCAAACAATCTTGCTTAGACGTCCTCAAAGCACATTCATATGCCAACAACCAAGTGACTCAACTACCATGTTTAAATGCACATAGATTCTAAATATCTAAAATAACAAACAAATGAAATAGACATTTGAAGGATGCTTGAGCACTTTCAATACTTGGGCAATTGTCTATGGCTAGCTGGGTGTCCCTCAGACCACCAAGCGCCGGCATTACCTCAACTCTTACAAAAGATTAATAGTTCACTTCAACAAATGACATCATAGGATCATCTTCATGTTCTCTCAACGAGATGCCCAATGTCAACTTCAAAACAAAGCCTCCTAATGCTAAACTGGCTAGTAAAAAAAATAGAGAACAGAAGTAGTTACTAAAGTGTTGAATAAGATAGGCTTAGAATGAAAAGAATGATCAAAAGATTCTAAACACGGATATTGCTTGAAATAGAAGAATTTCTAATCATACCATGAAGCTTCTTGATACCACAAACAACCTTTGACATGAACTAGCCTTTCCCAAAGTCTGAGGTGCAAATTATGAAGGAGATGTATACTTGGCATTTTACTGTTAAAGCAACATGTGAATGCAAGCTATATTTGGATATGTAAATTTTGACAATGGATAGCAAACCTAATTAGAGATTCTTATAAAACTATATTACTTTGTAATCATAATTGCTTCAAGAGAAACTACGAGCAAATATCAAGAACTCACCGTGCTACATATATGGACAGAGTTCACATACCCAGCATACTTGGAACCTGCATTGAAGAGAAAAGGAAATGAGAATATCCATACCACCTGATAAATTCTGCAAATGATTGCAACACCAATTTTACAGTCTATAAATGAAAAACATTTCCAGCCAAAAAAGTTAACGAGTAACACTACCAAAAAAGTGCTTGACATCTGAACAAACAAATGTTTGTCAACAAAGAAGTAAATTTTCCAATAGAAAGAGAAAACTGAACAAAAAGAAAGCATGGAAGAAAACTACGCCATGAAAATAAACCTAACAGATTTCACAATCAAAATGAAATAGAAAGACCTAGAGCTTGCATAACTTGAGCTTAACTAATGAGCCAGCCCATTTACATTCGATCAGGGATGAACAACTAGACACACAAGACAATCATTAAATCACCATTATGTTTGATGTGGCCTTCTTTGGATGTAATGCAATAGGATTACTACTTTCCCGGCTCAGAGGAGCCTTTGTATATGCTCAAAAGCTTTTTTTGGCCATTTTGTATTGCTGGAGTTCTAGAAGAGTGGTTTTGTAGATTCTTTGGACTTATAAGTTCTCTTAGGCCTCTTTTGTTCTCAAGTGGGTAGGCCTTTTCCACTTTTTTTTTGGGGGGGGGTTTTTTTTTTTTAGAGGTTAATCCTGTGTAACATTGGCCTTTTCGTACTTGGGTTTCAGCATCTTTTATACAAATTTAATGAAATTTACAATACATACAAAAAAAAAATACCATTTTCGAAAAAGAAAACTTCAAAGATGAATATATTTTATTGTTAAATATTTTCCGTAATGTTTTCTTTGTCAAACCATGTGCTTAGCAAAGAGGTAGAAGCATTTAGGGTGGCAGCAATCAGACTTTCTGGATACAGCTCTTCCTTGCTGCCTGTATGTGGTAAGGCTTGGTCAACTGCCCAGCCACCTCTTTAGCTCGTCTCTTTTAATAAATTATGCCATTCTTGACTTTAGAAGTATAGCTCAATCTCTCTATTTATTAGTTCAGTGCTAAGATGTAGAACTGCATCGTAAATGGGTCAAAAGATCATCAATCTGGAATTCTCTTTTTTATATTGATTGCAATCCTTATTAGTGATTAATTATTCTACATACTATGTAGGGGAATGCACTATGAGGACTGAATAAAAGAAAATTTGTGAGAGTTGGGAGATGAAGATTCCATGTGCAAGGGTGGGTCTATTCACATTTAACAGAATTCTGCTTCAACCTAAAACTTATTGTCAGCTCTAACCTTGTCCAAGTAGACACAGTGCCAAAAAGAAAATAAGAACAAGAAACACAGACAATGTAATGTTGAGTAGCCATCAAACACAATCTTTACCTATCGACACCTAATCACTGAGCCAAAGAAAAAATTAGAAGCGGAGAAATGTAACCTCAAAATGATAATTATAGGATGAGGATAACAATGATGATGTTACCAAATCAAACTAAGCCTTGTGTCCCGATCAAATGGGGGTAGCTACATGAATCGTTTTTCGCCATTTTTTCTGTGTCAAGGACTATAAGCAAATGTGCTTGATTTGACATGGCAAATGCTTTTTCAATTATATCAAAGCATTTTTGCCTCACATAGTGGTTTCTAATATCAAGAATAGTGGCATATTCACATCTCATTAGGATAGGGTGATCTAAACTACACAAATTCAAATATTTTTTTACTACTGCATCCAATTTCCATTTTTGATTATAATGTTACCAGGTAATATATCCAAAGCTTATCACAAAGTCGATTAAATTTAAGATAAAAAATAAAAAAAATTGTAGTAATTGATTGTAGACAACTAATGCGTTACTGTTCCTTTTCACGAAGATATATCAGAGATAATCTCAAGCCCCAAGGAGCTTTACACAACACTCGATAGTTCTACGTTCTTCAGACTTTCTAGTGTACACATGAACAATGTCATCATGTTGTCCTTCAATGCTAACACAGAGCATGAATGTGTTGGCAGTTGTTTTCCATATGTTCTCCAAATTTATTGCAAATGCCCTCATTTTCCCATCAATTTCCTTACATCTAACTCCATTCAATAACATAACAATAAAAATCTCCATCACTTATACAATCATTTTTTCAACATTAGCATTACAATAAATGAATTCAAGTGAAAACAGAAGACAAAGTGGCTAGACATCCCCGTGACGGTTGTTAAAGCGAGGGACATGCTTTGTCCGAACCATGTCTATTTGTCCAACAACTTCTAAACGATAGTTCTGTGTGAGGCAAGAGGCGGCTCCTTGATGGTGTAATCCCCGTTGGTTTGCTTAACTACAAGGTCAGAGTTGCATAAGAGAGTTACTCCCATGTGGAACTCAGCCATGAGTCGACTATGAGGGCCTCATACTCTACCTCATTGTTGGAGGATCTAGGATCCAAACTCTAATTTGTAAGACAAATTGACTTTGATGGCATTGAAGGAAATCAAGACCATTTTGCTGGAGATAAGATTATATTGTTAAAGATATTAGAATATATGGGAATCCCATGATTTGTGTTCTTTCTTTTATCTTTTCTATCTCTATTATCTCTCCATATTGAACCTTATTGCCTTACTACAAAATTTAACTTGGTATCAAAGCACTTCATATTGTTTTGTTCTCAAGGTGTTTTTCCCTCTTCCTTGAGTGGACCACTAGTTTGCTAATGTTGTAAGAAAACACTGTGATTTTTACTTATTTCAGGGCTACCATACCAGTGTGTTTAGTAGCATTATTTTGTGATATGCCGAGTATATAGCCCATTTGTTTTCATTATTCTCATTCACCTTGGGTAACCCTATAAGGTTGGTGTTGCTGATGTGGTTACAATTGTTTCTACTTTTTTTGTGTATTTAGGGCTACCAGTGTGTTCGATAGCATTCTTTGCAGGCCACCACTTCTCCAACAATCTTGTTTGTTTTGTGATGCACTATTCTTTCCGCCTTTCTATTTGTGGTGATTTGTCGTTGCTTTGGCCTTGTCGCTTTCTCTCTCGGTTGCTTTCTCTTGCCACCATCATGACTGATTTCATGCACATTTCTCTATTGCAAGATGTTGATTCCTTACCTATGTTCTCTGAAGTTGTCATTGAAGGGAGTCTCTACAATTGTTGTCATTTTTCGACAACGTCTTTGTAGTTGTTTGTAATGATCATCATAATTTTTGAGTTCAAGTTGGACACTTCACTTCAACCGTTCTATGTTCCAACTTGAGGAGAAGTTTTGGAGATAAGATTATATTGTTAAAGATACCAAAAGATATGAAAGACATTAGAGCATATGGAGATCCCGTGATTGATTAACTGAAGGGATTTGACTGTATCTCCCACTCTATATATAGGGTGTATGATGTAAATAACAGTATTAAGTTGAGTGAACGAAAAATGTAGCCCATAGGACTTTGTGTGTGTGGATGTAGGCCAAGATTGGCCGAACCACATTAAACCTTTGTGTTCTTTCTTTTCTATTATCTCTCCATATTCAACCTTATTGTCTCGTTACAAAAGTTACTCATTTTGACTTAACCCACCTCGTCAAAGCTGAGTCTCCTTCTCCTTCTGTTCTTACTTCAGTGGCCTGGAATTCATCTCCCGATAGTTTGGCTTGAGTTCCCCATTGGGGTAAGTGACCTGGGAAATCAACTAGGGCTTGGCTCTTAATAGCCTTAGGCACATTGTAATTTGCAAATGAAGTCATATTCCACCAAAGAGAGCTGCCACCGAGTGAGCTGCCAGAGAGAATAGTCAGTGATCCCAGCTAAGGGAGTGAGTGCATATGGGAGAGATATGCAAGCGAAAGGTTGGGCTATGTTGCTGCCAAGCAAGAGTGACTGAGTGGAGACATGCTCAAGGTCAAGTGATGCTCCTGATCGCTCCTCGACACATCTTATGGGAATGAGGTATGAAAAAACCATGGTCGAGCGAAGGCTCGTCCAAGCAAGCCGTGGTGCTATACTGAGCCATGTTGTTGTCAAGTAGGTTATGGCTGAGCGGGTAAGCTTAGCTCTGCAGCATGGTGTAGCAACCATGCATTGGTTATGCATACCTGAAGTTTTGGCCTAATAGAGTGGCAGTCACGCCAGTGAGCTGAGCAGCCATACTTGGTGTTTATGCCCCAGCTAGGCTAGACATACAACCCCGATTAGTCTGATCAGGACATTGCGGTGCCTCAGGTGTCTACCACATGGAAATGATGGAGGTGATGACATGGGACCCGTGGGGCTCTCCACGTATCAGTCGTGATATAGATACCCACACCCAGCAACAGTTATGCAAACATATCAATGAGTTTTAATTTCATTACCACATTTAAGGACATAAGCATTAGATTTTCACCCAATCACATCATAACCCAGCATTAAGCAAGCAAACATACAGTAATGCATATTACTTACTCTTCTTTAAGCCTGCAGGCTTTGCCGCCAAAAGGGCATTCACAAATGCACCAATGTTTTCACGTAACGCCTCCTCCGAATAACTCACCTGCAGTTGATGATTAGTTCCATGGGCTTACAAGGGGGGTGGGGAGTAAAGCCCCATAAACGCAAATCATGCATTCATAACTTGCGTTATATAACAGAAGAAATCAACTGTACCTTCCCAATCCCAACATGCACTACTGCAGCTTTGTCTTTCTTATTAAACTTCACAAGCCGTTTTGCTTCTCTCACTGCCTTAGCGACATCATCAGTCACGGTACCGGCCTATAAAATGTTTTGAATTAAATAACGATGAGAACATGCCCACTGAAATATCTCCAACTTTAGCTTCCCAAAAAAGGGAAGGGGGAAAAAATAAATTAATTAAAAAGAGCAGCAGCAAGAGCAACAATATTTCACACTCACTTTAGTACTAGGCATCCGACTTTTAAGGATGTTCCCCAGCTGCAAAATAGAAAGCATAACCTTTCATACCCAGATACTAACTTCTTTAATACCCGAGTTTGAATTCAAATAAAACAAACCTTTTGAAGACGTGGAACAAATTGATGAGTTGTAATACATATATCAAAATGAGCCTTAACATTGCCTGCACATGTTTGAGGAAATCTTAATGCTGAATCTCAAAATCTCAAAAGTTCATTCTAGTTCCTATAAAACATCAATTAAATTGTAGTAACATTGTAAAAAATGACAAGTGACATCCAAATAGATGGAAATTCATTTTGATCTGCATAAAGGACAATAACATCAGTGCCATACCGATAATGCACATTGTTGATTAATGAAGACAACCAACAAACATTTAGCAGTAAGCATAAGGAACATGCAAGCCCATTGATGGGATGAAAAAGAGGGAATGATAAAGAACCATGGGGGCTTAAGTTTTTGGAAGCTATTAATAAACTGCTCAGCATTGGTTTTGGAGTTGTTTCAGGGATAGTGCATTAAGGCCACCACAAAGAAATGCACCAGAGTTAGTAAAGATACTCAGTAAGCAGATTTTGGATAACTATGAAGCAAAGAAATAAGAACATGTTAAAATGTACCAAAACCTACCACTACACCTACACCACTACCACCTCACCTACTCCACTAAACCTAACCCACTACACCACTACCACCTCACCTACTCACTACCCACTCCAACTTTTACCTACTCCATCTACCACCTACTACAACCCTATTCTTCTATATATAGGAATCATTGTAACATACAACAATACATCAATCAATAATACAATTCTCTATTCTCTTTATACATTAAATTTCTAACATGGTATCAGAGCCATAAGATTTAGGCCCGTATTTTGTTTTCTCACGGCGGGCAGCCGGCCGCCAACCTTGCCTTCGCTGCCGCTGGAATTTTGTACACATACCTTCACTTTCCTGCCTCTTCAAACTTTCTTACAACTGTTGTCCATAGATGGGCTTCAACTTACGGTCCATCTATGCCTTGTGACCCTCTATACTGTGAAGTCTCTCTGTCCAAATGCATCAATGACTTCCTATGGAAACCTGCTTCTGATCAAGCTTTCTCAGACCCTCTTTTCTTCCCCTCTTGAATGTGTTTGGTACACCTCATGCCTCTAAATGCATAGTAATCTGAGTATTGCTAGGCTAATAACGAGGCCTCTCCGAGCAACTGAGATGGGGCTTCATATTCCTGTGCCCATCACATCATGCAGACCAGGTAACTGTGGTTCAGTTCCATATACTATAGTCTATCGGTGAGCTATGCTGATTTTGTACACGCACACAAAGTCCTCGCGAATGATTTTTTGAATGACAGCATCGTGTCTGGGATCGACAGAAGCCGTTGCTTCGTCCATAAACAGAATCTTGCTGTGTTTCAACATGACTCTCCCCAAGCACAGAACTGTCTCTGTCCCACACTCCAATTGTCTCCGCCATCAACCACGTACATGGATATTGGTTCGAGTGTGGTTGCGAAGCTTGCATAGACACCACATGTTTTATGGTACTTGTTTTTGTGCGAAGACAAAATCACAAATTCCCACCTTTTTTTCTTTTAATGTCCTCCAACTCTACACCCTCTACATGCCATCTTTGCAAACACTCAATTCTCCCACCATCTCCTCTTTCTAACACAATATTTTTGTACCACCGCCCACTCCATGATACCAATATTATTATATTATTATTATTTTCACAAAAAAAAAATCATCCAGTTGATTTTTCTGCATTACCACACCTACCATTCGAGTTTGCCAAACACACTTGCTTTATTAACATCGGGACTCACCCCGATCACCATTTTCATCAAAAAAAAAAAAAAAAAAACAAACAAACAAACAAACAAACAAACAACCGCACCACAGTGGGATTTTCTTCTCTACTCTTGCCGCGGTCTTTCTTCTTGCCTCCATCCTGGACGGCCCTTGACGGTGCTGTCTCCGTGCTTCCTAGACCACCAAGCAAGTTGCCTCAACCCTGCTCCCCACTACAGCATATGGCGGCCCTCCAAATCGGAACATTAACGGTGGCCTTCCGCTTCAGCTCCTTGTTTTCCGCCTTTAGCACACTTATCTCTGCTCGCGCATCCTTATACATGCGTTGGAGCAGAGCAGTTGGAGCAGAGCCAGTTGGGCGTTTAACTGCTGCACCTCATTTGTCCTACTCTGCAGCCGGTTCGACAAATTGTAACCGCAGTCATGGTTTCCCACTACATGACTTCAATGTAATACTGATTGGCCTCCACATTCGACTGCACTGCCATTCTTTGCTCCACAGACCGCATAGGAAATTCAACGGAGCAAAACTCCGGGCGCGTTGGTTGAGGTTCCAGTGCCACCGCACCAAGTTATCTCTCTTTGTTGACTCGTTGAGGTCGGAAAAGAGAGTGAGCAGACCACGAGAAGATGAAGCCATGTTCTGGGTAGCTGAACGGGAAGAAGAGGCCCATGTTTTTTTGGGTTGCTGAGTGTTTCCTCGAGAGGGTTGGATACAGAGATTTACAGATTGTTCAGAATGACAAGTTCAGAGGTTTCAGTCTGGTTTGGGTTTCCCACCGCCTCCGCATTGGTTTAAAGACACTGGACTACGCGGCCTTGGTAAACACATATCGCCACTCTAGCAGCCCTCGACTCCGTGCGTCTCGCGCGTCGCCTCGCCGCTCTCCGGCTCACCTTTTGATGGCTCGACGCTTTCTGCGGGCACACATGCTGCCTTTTGATGAAGTGGCGATTTTGGCGGAGCGAGGGCTTTGAGCGGGCTCACTATATATATACCATTATATATATATCTTGGGCAGCCTATATAACAACCATATACAGTGTATTTTTTAAAGGGTCCGACAAGACTCTGTAAACTGTCCCGACATTGATTCCGGTTAGCTCCTTCAGGGGTCCGACAAGACTCTGTAAACTGTCCCGACATTGATTCCGGTTAGCCTCCTTCAAGGGTCCGACAAGACTCTGTAAACTGTTCCGACATTGATTCCGGTAGCTCCTTCAAGGGTCCGACAAGACTCTGTAAACTGTCCGCCCGACATGATTCCGGTTAGCTCCTTCATGGGTCCGACAAGACTCTGTAAACTGTCCGACATTGAATTCCGGTTAGTTTCTACAAGGGTCCAGCAAGACTCCGTAAAGCTGTCACAACAACTGTCACAATATAGTGCTGCTACAAACGGTCCGACATGACCCCATAAACTGTCGTCTACATCGGTCTGCCATAACCACTATAGTCTTTCTCAACGGTCTGACACGACATAACAGTGCTCCTATCCTTTTTTATTTATGTATTCGTCTATTTCTTGTTTTGTTAGTCTCTCCAAACTCAAGTGGTTAGTTCCTATCCCCTTGAGTTTGCGGGGGCTGTTAAATATGTACCAAAACCTACCAACACACCTACACCAACTAACCATCACCTACTCCACTAAACTACCACTACACACACTACACCATACACTCCACTTCACCTACTCCCTCCACCTACCACTTTACCCTCTCCATCTAATTCATCTACACTTACTACACACACTACTCTCCTATATATTATAGGGAATCATTGTAACAATAGACAACAAACAAATCAATCAATAACAATTCTCATTTCTCTTTATACATTAAATTTCTACAGAACATCTTCAAAATGTTAAAATCTTGCTCATCAAGTTGAAAACACGTCACTGAAGACAAACCCAAGTTTGGGAAGGAAAAAAGGAATGGTTGGACAGATCACTTGCCTCTTTTTATGGTATCTTGGTCATACATCTCGAAGTAGCACGTATAATACTTGTTTGCATGTAAACTTTGGCAGGCTTCATTTGTCGTTTTATAATTAAATTTCACCTAACTAAGGAAACAAATATTTTCATAGCCCTAATCATTCACGATGATGTAGCACACAGTTATCAAATTACCATTCTTATTTCCCTCAACGAGTTCAACCCGCCAACAACATTAGCACCTGCAGCTCTGGCTTCATCTGCGGCAGATCCATCACAAAGACAGCAATCTTAGCAGCCTGAGTATAATAAATATCCATCAGATAAATCCATGCGAACTAGACTGCAAGTACTCTAATACTCTGCCACATTCCACCATCATAAGTGAAGATTGTAACCTTCCCAGTACCATGAGGCAAAGTCGCAACACCAATCAACTTCTGCACTTCAATTCAGATGGAAGTTAACTAAATATCTTGAAAAAAAAAATATGAATTGAGATGCCAAAACATATTAATGCCTCAGAAATAAACACCAAGAGACAAACCAAAAAAGAATGATGAATACTGTTCATGTCTTCTATTTAAGACCCCAAAATGGCATCCACTTTTCTTTTCAAAATCCCCCCCCCCCCCCCCCAAAAAAAAAAGAAGAAGACAATCTCTCAAGGAGGTGGAGAATATTAAACAGTGTGCAAACCATTCACCAAGATAGAACCTGTGCAGGAACAAGAAAGCCATTAAGAAGGAAAATATATCTACATATATTTATTGGGGCAAGATTAATGCAAAGTGGTACTGCATGAGCACAGGGGCGGGGGTAGTGTGAATTAACTTCTACATTCTATAGCGGGGCTAAGGAACTTTGGACAATAGTTTTGTTTTGAAACTAGTTACCAATTCTTTTCTCACTCTTTTTTTTGGGTACAAAGAAGGGGGCCGAGGTCCAAACCTAAACCATGATGCTTCCAAAGATTCCCCATCCAAAGGAGTCTCAAGCCAATATGGGCTGCACCACTCTTGATGACTGGATTAGCGCCTGAAGTTCCCTATCAGCATAAACTGCATCTCTAGCAAGCTTATCCACACACCCATTGTGACACCCCAAAGAATGCCATGTACCATGTCCTTGAATGTCTTAAATCAAGTCAGTTATCTCACTATACAGAATATTCGAAGTACAGTATAGAAGCGAGTAGTTGAAAAGACTTGAGGAAGTGTGCCTAAGAAGAAGGGATGTAAGGATACTTGTGATTGATGAAAAACCTAAGACAATTTAGAAATAGAACCTTGGTGTGGGAATTGATAAGTAACATGGAGTTAAGGGATGGAACTTGATATGGATATTGAATGCTTAGATCACATAAGAATCCTTAATTGAGGAGCTTAAAGATCTTAGACTAATATGCTTGTTGTTTTAATGTTATATTAT